GATGATGTCCACCATACTCTTCTTTTTGTCTGCCATTCTCATTGTATCCTCACAACTTTATCCCCATGTTTGCCCTAAATAATAAATATATATCCCCATGTTTACCCTAAATCAAGATATTAAGTTCTGTAGTTTCTCACACTATTTTGAGGTTAAGCTTATTAATGTTCAGAGTTTGGTGTTTTTCACCCTCACAAAGGAAATCGAATAAAAGATCTGATGTGTAGCTTTCACCAATAGTTGTTTCTGCGGACATCATTTGTGGGGCCCTGTCATCCCACTGAACTTAAATTAGGACCTTTCAGCAGCTTGTGATTCTACTTGAAAGAGAAAACAAAACAAAACAAAACCCAGAGCCACTGAGAGAATTTTCCCAAGTGAAACTTAACATTCAGAAAGCAAGAAAAGGTTATTTTTTAAAATAAAAGCTTCTATAAAATATAGCACTATAAACTGCTCCTCTGGAATTGAGACAAATTTAGAATAGATTCATCACTGAGAAGCAACTTCTCCTGGTATGCAAGTTATCAGCAACAAGCTTTTGAAGCTGTCTTCTCTAGACTCTATAGAGTAAACAGAATGGCATATATTTCACTGTATACGTGCTCTTGCATGGGAAAATCCAATTTAATCCTCGGAATTTAAACTCTCTGTGTTCTGTTCTTGGTCAGGCAGCTGCTTTTAGAAATAAAACTTGTCTTCTAGCAAGGCAAGGAGTGAACAGCATTGACTGCAAGTGATTAGAAGTAAAGCTTTTACTTCAAATACAGAATGCTTTGAGCTGCTTCAAACATCTGGCTTCTGGTTAATGGTACCCTGTGAGCAAAGGACAGTAGACAAGAGGGAAATGAATGAAACTGGAAATTGAATTATTTATCAGGGATCTAAATAGACCTCTCTTTGGCACACAGACTTCTTAAATTTTATAGGTTTTGAGTTTAAAGAATGTTATACATGATGGAACACAGCTACTGTGCCAGATCAACACAATGAGTTAAGAACTTTACACTTGCAGTATCCTTTTTCCACCTTCTAGTTCTCTGCTGGCTGTCAAACCAATGCACATTTCATGGTGCATAAAGCAAAGCACTAGAGAAAGAAAAGGGAAGCAGCCACTGAGGTCACTGATCCCACAGCTAATATAAGGGCAAATTTTGGTTTTGTCAGGTCAACTTTTCTTCATGTTATGATCAGCTCAGTCTCTTTGGGCTAGAATCTTCTCACATTAATCTGGTGTGCACTGAACTACCTAATGTGAAGACCAGCACTTAAACTTCTCTAAATGTGACAGATTTAAAAAAAAAAAAAAAAAAAAAAAAAAAAAAGAGAGAGAGAGAGAGAGAGAGAGAAAGCTTTTCCATTGGCCCTTACTTTGTGAATTTATTTGTGCTTACAGAGATTGACTTCAACTTTGTAATTTCACACTCATTTCATATCTATAAGCCATTAGATAAGTGCTAGGATGAGAGAACAATCTAAGTTTAGTTCCCTGTGAAAAATAAAATAAAATAAAATTTTATTTACTTAAACTTCTAAATGTGCAATGCAATGAGTAAATACAGAGCAATACAAAGAGATGAGACAGGGACACTTGGGGCTGGATGGGGTCCACCCAAGGGTACTGAGAGAACTGGCAGAGGAGCTGGCCAAGCCACTATCCATCATTTATCAGCAGTCCTGGCTATCGGGGGAGGTCCCAGTTGACTGGCGGCTAGCAAACGTGATGCCCATCTACAAGAAGGGCTGGAGGGCAGACCCGGGGAACTACAGACCTGTTAGTTTGACCTCAGTACCAGGGAAGCTCATGGAGCAGATCCTCTTGAGAGTCATCACGCAGCACTTGCAGGGCAAGCAGGCGATCAGGCCCAGTCAGCATGGGTTTATGAAAGGCAGGTCCTGCTTGATGAACCTGATCTCCTTCTATGACAAAGTGACACGCTGGATGGATGAGGGAAAGGCTGTGGATGTGGTCTACCTTGACTTCGGCAAGGCTTTTGACTCCGTCTCCCACAGCATTCTCCTCAAGAAACTGGCTGCTCCTGGCTTGGACTGGCGCACGCTTCGTTGGGTTAGAAACTGGCTGGATAGCCGGGCCCAAAGAGTCGTGGTAAATGGAGTCAAGTCCAGTTGGAGGCCAGTCACTAGTGGCGTCCCCCAGGGCTCAGTGCTGGGGCCGGTTCTCTTTAATATCTTCATTGATGATCTGGACGAGGGCATTGAGTGCACCCTCAGTAAGTTTGCAGATGACACCAAGTTAGGTGCGTGTGTCGATCTGCTCGAGGGTAGGAAGGCTCTGCAGGAGGATCTGGATAGGCTACACCGATGGGCTGAGGTCAACGGCATGAAGTTCAACAAGGCCAAGTGCCGGGTCCTCCACCTGGGGTGCAATAACCCCAAGCAGAGATACAGGCTGGGAGATGAGTGGTTGGAGAGCTGCCAGGCAGAGAAGGACCTGGGAGTGATGGTTGATAGTCGGCTGAATATGAGCCAGCAGTGTGCTCAGGTGGTCAAGAAGGCCAACAGCATCCTGGCTTGCATGAGAAACAGTGTGACTAGCAGGGCTAGGGAGGTGATCGTCCCCCTGTACTCGGCTCTGGTGAGGCCACACCTCGAGTACTGTGTTCAGTTTTGGGCCCCTCGCTACAAGAAGGACATGGAGGTGCTTGAGCGGGACCAAAGAAGGGCGACGAAGCTGGTGAGGGGCCTGGAGAACAAGTCCTACGAGGAGCGGCTGAGGGAGCTGGGCTTGTTCAGCCTGGAGAAGGGGAGGCTCAGGGGCGACCTTATTGCTCTCTACAGATACCTTGAAGGAGGCTGTAGCGAGGTGGGGGTTGGTCTATTCTCCCACGTGCCTGGTGACAGGATGAGGGGGAATGGGCTTAAGTTGCTCCAGGGGAGTTTTAGGTTGGATGTTAGGAAGAACTTCTTTACCGAAAGGGTTGTTAGACAGTGGAACAGGCTGCCCAGGAAAGTGGTGGAGTCATCATCCCTGGAAGTCTTTAAAAGACGTTTAGATGTAGAGCTTAGGGATATGGTTTAGTGGGGACTGTTAGCGTTAGGTCAGAGGTTGGACTCGATGATCTTGAGGTCTCTTCCAACCTAGAAATTCTGTGATTATGTGGACCAAAAAAGAATAATATATTTTTCCCTCCATTTTTAAGAAGAAAGGATAAATAACTACAATCAAAAATTAAAAAAAAAAATAAAAAAAATAAATATTTTGGAGGACATTAAGAAGGAATTTATTTGTTAGGGTAGAAAATCTTACCTAATTTCCTAATTTACTAAAGCTTCACATGCTAGGGTTTTGGGAAGGAAGGAGCTTCTGCAGATAGTAGTGTCTGCATAAATATTGTTCAGTACCAGAACACTGTCCTGGTGGCAGACAGTTCTTATCTTAGCCTACATAAGAGAATGAGATGCAATCACATTGTTTTATCTCATGTATGGATGATAAGGGCATTTCTGTTGCTTATTTTGTGATCAAGATTCTTCTGACCTGTAAGAGCTTAATATAAGCTTTGTTATCTATTGCAAATGGATCAATGCCACGTATAGGAAATTGAATTATTTCCCTTAGTTATGTTCTGTAGTATCTGAAATATCAAAAAAGATTTCAAATACTGCATTATCCTGCATTAAGCTTTCTGTGAATATGCAAGGGCTGTAGTATTAGGCTGAAGCATAGCAGATCTGTTAGCTCAGTAGGGCTGGTAATTTTTAATCCTATTCATTAGTCTTAATTTTACCACAAGTCTGAGCTCTTTTATATTTTTCTCTATATATTATTACATAGACAAACACACTTTGAAATATGGGATGTTTATGCACGCTAATTTAGGGTATCTGGGAAGTTGTACCACTGGAAGGGAACGACGTTATTCCCAGAACAGAAATTAGAAATATGAGATTTCTCTCCTCACAGATTATTCTTCGTATTTCCACATCACTCCAGCAGAGAGAAAGATTGGCACATTCAGCGCAGGACCTGTTTTCCTTATGGTTCCCAAGAAATTGCTGGAGGCTCTTTGAGACTACAAGGACAGAGGAAAGACTACAAACAGGCTTACAGGGATCTTGTATATGAATGACAGAGAGCTGACCACACACATCAGACCAGATCATCTTCCATGGTAGAATCAATGCAGATATTTTCTACTCTCAGTTTCTGTCTTGATTATCACTGTAGTTTTCTCAGACTTCAGTTTCCTGGCAAATGAGAGATGTCTCATGCAATTTTAAACATAAGAAGACCTGGGAGAAAAAATCAGAACAACTTTCTGCTGGATAACATGATTTGGACAAACAGAGAAGTTTCATCCAATATAAGAGCAAAATTTTGTTTCATTTTGTTATCTGATTTCTGTAACACTTGATACAAATAATTTTGTTTAAGTGTAAGCATAACTTCATTCACATTCTGTTAAAGACACTGCATCTCATTTCAGTTATGGCAAAAATTGCTAGTTTACAAAACATTTCAGTTTGAGCTTTCACTTATACTTGCTTTTCATCAAGTATTTTTCTTCTGTTATAAATTTTGGACAAAAGCAAAAAATATCAAAATATGAGAAGTGAAAATTTCCCAAGTGACAGAAAATGTGTCTGTATATAAAAGATTTTTATGCTGCAATGCACAGCAGGAGAAAGAAGAAATTCTTCCTGTGACAGTCTGTGCTGTAAATCACAAATGCTGTGGTGTGTCTCTGTTGTGGTTTAACCCAGCATGCAGCTAAGTACCACACAATTGTTTGCTTTGTGTATTTTTGCTCCCCCTGTCCCAAACCCCAGTGGGATGAAGGAGAGAATTGGGACCAAAAAAAAAATAAAAGCTCGTGGGTTGAGATAAAGACAGTTTAATAAGACAGTAAAATGAAAGGAAAATAGTAAAATAATAAAATAAAAATGCAATAATGTTAGCAATTATAATAATAATAATAGAACATGCAAAGCAAGTGATGCACAATGCAATTGCTCACCACCTGCTCACAGATGCCCAGTCAGACCCCGAGCAGTGGCATTCCCCTCAGCCAACTTCCCCCACATTTGTTGTTCAGCATGATGCCATATGGTATGGGATATCCCTTTGATCAGCTGTTCTGACTGTCTGCTCCCAGATTCTTGTGTACCCCCAGATTCCTCAATGGCAGGGCAGCATGCAAAACTGAAAATGCCTTGACCCTGCATAAGTACTGCTCAACAACAACTAAAACATCCATATGTTATCAACATTATTCTCATCCTAAATCTGAAACGCAGCATCATACCATCTACTTGGAGGAAAATTACATGTTTCCCAGCTAAAACAAGGACAGCCTGGCTGAAGCAGCCATGCCTCAACTAAGCTCCTCTGTGCTGGCCACTCCAACTCCCTGTGCCACTGCTTCTCTGCACTGCCCTCTCCCTCTGGGTCTTTCCCCATCAGGCCAGGGTCCCAGCATTGGGCTCACAAGGTCCCCAAGTGCCTCCCCCAACACCTTGCCTGAGGCAGGGTTCCTGCACCCACCCAACCCAGGACCAGAATGAAGCTGGAATCTATATACTATTTCTAGACTCACTTAAAAAGTGAATACTTTGTAATGTGGCCCTTGAGTGAAGCTGTTTATTTGCAATTTCATTCAGGAAGAATCATGAAAAAAATTCTGTGAATAGCATGGCTGCTTGAGACAAAAGTTTTACAGAAACTTCCTGCACATGGTATGGTTTTTGTTTTGAGATATTATCAGCAGAGTCTAGTTCAGAGATACTAATATCACTTGAATTCAGGTACTTTACTGAGGAAAGGAAAAGTCTGATGAAATCAGTCTACCTTGTGAAAGAAAGATAATATTGTCAGCATTAATTGTCAACATAGTCCACTGTGATAAATCTCAGCGTTGTACATGCAGCTCTCTGTTAGATCTTGTTGGCTTTTTTCTCATTTTAATTTTACCCTGAAAGTAAAAATTACAAAAGCCAGGAGGCTACTATTGCAGATGAATGGAATACAAGACAGAGTGCACTAGCTAGATAAAGTATAATTAAATATTTACCAACACCTATGTGAGGCCTTTAAGTAGGCAGATCCTGTGAATGTTACAGCTCAACTTCTGACTACTCATTGACACAAGGTAATGTTTGAAATAAGTAACAGGTAGTTTCACTGAAAATATGCAAGCTAATGAATGGACAGTTCTGGGTTTTTCTTTGTGTTTACATAAAGACCCACAAAGTTCTTTGTAGGTCAGTAGTTCTTTGTAGGACACAGGCTTTGTGCCCAAGAGAGGTGTTGAGGAGACTGGTTTTGAAAACCCAGTTGCTACAAATTTTCCTACCTTCCACTTCTCTTGCATGCATTTTTTCAGTGACCATATTTGCAGTGTAAAGCAGTGAGACCATGAGATTTAGAGCATCTCATGAAAGAGGCGATGACTACGACGGCATGGTTGGAAATTAATTTGAAATAGCTTTATGCTACAGAAAACAGTGAATTTCTACAGTGTTTGGAATAGCAGTCTTAAACCACAGGATTGAATAAAGTACAAACAAACAAAACAAACAAACAAACAAACAGACATCCAGTGTGATTTTCACATCACCCCATTTCTACATAAATCTTGGGAGGTTCAAACTGGTCATTAAGTGTTTCACCGAGATCAAATGTAGCCCTAGAGCATGTAACCCAAACTGTTGATTGAAATTCCACCCATGGCGGTTTTCAAGACATGGGTAGAGGCAGCTGACACAGATGTGATCTAGCATTGACAGGAGTCGTGTTTTGCAGCTGAAATCCAGACCTCCAGAGGACCTTCCCAAACAAAAAGTATGTGATTCTATGAGACTTAGACATCAACTTTAATACAACTATTCTACACCTTTGGTGTCAATTACAGGAAAAAGTAAGGCTGACTCAACAGTCTGCTTGTTGTCTTTTAAGACAGCCACAAGCCCACGCTATTTTTATGCTAGCAAGCTGAGAGAATGGATTTCATTGGCTTTATACCAGTATCTATTGCTCATATAACAAAACAAATGTTGCTTATTTTTAAAATTGACAGTTTGGGTGCTTGACCATTCTCTATGAGAGAAACCTATGATTCAGTGTGGTTCACTGGGCTGAAATTTGGGGATTTCAATTACTTTTTAAAGTTATTTGCTATTACTTTCTACCCCAGTTTACAACCTTCTATAAACCCATTTTCTCCAAGGCTTTCTATCTTCTTTATACTTTATCGTATCTTTTATTAGCTAATTTTAGAGCAACCTTTCTGTTCAGGAATTCAGTGCATCCATTTGCAAAACTGGATCCTTCTACCTTTATTTCTTGCTACTACACAGAGAAAAAAGGAAGTGTTATACAGCCTGAAAATAGCTTAAATTTAGCCAAAGTTTCTTCAAGATAGACCTGCCATGTCTTTGTGTCCAAGGGGATAACAAGAGAATATTCTTACCTCATTCCACCTGATTCACTTCCTTGTCAGCTATCCCAACTTCTTGGCCTTCAGTCTTAAAGGGAAAGAAATCTATTATTATCCCATCCATACTCTTTCATGCCTTTCTGCTTTACATGCTTATTTAGACTATGGTCCAAAAGAAAATGACTTTTTAAAGACTTTCTCTTTTTCCCACCCTGAACTATGCGAAAACGGTAATAAAAATGATTGATTTCTAAACTAGACAACCTCAAGTAAATCCTTTTAGGCCTGAGCTTAATTTTTGGAGGGTGGGTCAAGAGATAATTAGCTAGATTTTATGCTTGGAATCTCTTCATGTCATGAGTAAGGAAGGTTGCAAGGAGGAACTTTTAATCCTACTTGCACCGATGCAAATCTGGAGAATGGCAATTCTCATTGTGGAGTTCTACACCACATACACCACTATAACAGAGTAAGTGTTCATAAAAGTGGAAGACAAGATATTTGTCTTACCAACAATTTATATGGACAGAGTAAAAGAAGTCAGAATTTTAGCTAAGTGTTACATTTACTCACCTATACTAACCTGGATTGCTAGTTGTTAAAACTAGCATTAACTGTTGTCCTTTCTTTCCCTTTCTCTTTTTTTCCCATAAGCTCTTGTTCATATTCCAAATAGAAACCTATTAGATGATTAGCAGTAAGTGACAGAAACTGCCTTTATTTAAATGTAGTGGAGTGCATCTTGGTGCATTAAAATCTTTTAGACTTTAAAAAGCTGAACATTTAAATAATTTTGCTATTAAAATTTTCTTTTCCAACATGCCAAACCTGGTTTAACAAAACCTCATTTAAAGTCAGGAAAAGTATGCTCAGCTATAAACAGTTGGACTCATTATCTTTAGGGTTGTTTTTATTTTAAAGGTTTTCAGCAGAAGCTTTATTTGTGAAGATTTCTAAAGGACACTACCCTGTGAGTGGCGGTTTCACAGAGCACTCTGAAAAAAAAATACATGGAAAAAAAAATGTCCCTTGATGTTTAAAGATTTTTTATTCTTTCCTCTATGCATAATACCAAGTACATGCAGGGAGTAGACTACTTTCATCTCACACTTGTGAAATATGAAGGGGATGGAAAAAATCAAGCAAAGGCTAAGCAACCCAGAAGCTCCCCCGCATGGGGTGCTGAGCCCGGGAATTCTCTACTGCCACAGCCTGGCAGTGCCAGGGAGGCCCAGGTATGCACATTAGAAGAAGACATGGCATTGCAGGGGCTCTAATGAGAGTTTTGTTTCTAGTATACCTTTCTCATAATGCACCATTGCACAAAACCAATTATTTCTGTAATCAGGAAAGGGCTTGCTCTTACACTTTATTTGACTTTCACCCTGAACTTAAAAAGAAAAGGAGGAGTTGAAAAAAAACTCACAGCATATCAGGATAATTAATTATGGTAAACTGTAATTAATAAAATATTGTTCTGGTTTCTTGTATGAGAATTCTTCACTGTCAGATGGAATTTTTTCTCACAGTCTTCTTTGTGACTCTCTGATTAGTCATTTATATGGATATCTCATCTCCAAACTCTTGCAGAGAACTGTAAACCTTGAAGGAGCTTCTATTTGTAACTTGATAGCTATGATATGGGCCTGCCCACCTAAGTCTTGTAAGTCTCCTTCTGTTGCTGATACACACAAATTATAAAATCTCAAAGACCTTTCCAAATTGCTACAATAACTCTCCTCCTGCACAGCTGCCTGAAATTCTATGTTAAAAAATCATTATAACCTCCAGCTCTACATAAAGCTGTATCACAGAAGCATGTGAAGAAAAACAGATTTTAAGTACTCATGCAAAAGTAAATGAAAGATAACTGGTAATTTGGTCAGCTTTCTACTCTGCACCTTAGGAGACTGCTCTCTTCAAAATGTCATTTTGCATTTCTTTTTTCAGTGAGTGATATTGTTTAAGAAAATCTCAATTGCTGGTTACCTTTCTGAGAGGTCTATAACCTCTGTGAAGCTGAAGAATAACTCTAATCCATTTATAAAATAAAACTTAGCTATGTATAAGTAGTGCTGAAGCTACTACTACTCCTTCAGCCCTGAAAAGCTATTTAGCTTATTCTTCATTCCCTGATCCTTCTCTTCTAGAAGTCTCACCAGAGCTTCCGAGTCACTGTTCAAGCTGCAAACCTTCCCCATGGCACAAGAGCAACTCCTCTGCTGTGCTTCCTAAGCAAGAGGGGAGGTTCACACACCATTAACTATGGGCATACACACCTGGTTCAAGAGAGGGAGATGCAGCTGCAGCTAACTTCCATGCTGTCATGTATTCCAGTGATGTGTGGGAATAGGGCAGGCCCCTGGGTTACCAGAAGGAAATGAATTCCTCCATCTCATAGCCCCCTTTTCCTTCCCAAAAAACTACTTCAAGCTTTACCTAATGTGGAAAGAAAAGAAGGGCCCTAGACTCAGCCAGGATTTAACACGGTTCAATGAGATATGTAGTGCCTCTTCCCCTGGACAGCAGAGAAAGGAATAAGGGGTTGCTCTCACCAGAGGGCCCCTTTGCAGCAACACTCATCCTTCTGCTGCCAAAGAGTCCCAGAATTTGCCAGTCACACACAACAAAGCTCCTATATCGTCACATGCCTCACAATCCATTAATACTTTAATTAATTATTAATACATTAATAATACATTAATTAATTATTAATACATTGATACAAATCTCAGTGACTGAAAGACTAGGGTCAGCTATAACTTGAAAGGTATTTTTAAACCTGGAAGCATATGAGTAAGAGCTCCTTTGTTCTGATTTTATGGATGAAATATGTTCAGGGGCTGGATGAGATGAGACTATACACCAACCTGAAAGAGAAATAAGATGTTCACTGCAGAACTGAACCTGTTAACCTCTGCAGTGACCTCATCTAACACCAAATATTCCCCTCCCCCAGTCTTCCTCATGTTAAATAACTGGGGCATCCTTCAGGAGCCAGGTTTGCTGCTTTACCTATGAGGAATGCAGGGAGAGGGGGAGCAGTGAGTGAAAAGAGACTGGCACGAGAAGAGTAGCTCTTGCTGCAAAGAAAGGCTCTCCAGCTGGGGCTGTGTAGGAGGAAGCAGAGATTCTACCAGCAACCAGAAAGGTGGAGGGTTTGTCGTGATTTTTATTTTTTTTGTTTAATGCGAGCTAATTTTATTCTTCTATGACCCCTTTCTCATGTAGAGCTCTCAAAGATAAGAGTTTATTGTACTGCAGAGCATTCTAAAGACAGGTTTCCATATTGGGCAGACAGGGGCTTTGTCAAAAATCTCAAACATTTTAAATCAACAACACCCCATCCAAAAGTACCCCCACCCTGTCATTAACAAAACTTGCTGGTCATTACTGGATTTCTCATCCTAAGAGGACTCCTAATGTCCTATTTTTGACCTACAGGGTTAGAAAGTGTGTGTGTGCAGGCATAAGAGACAGAGAAATGACAGCTGAGATCCTTTCAGAATTGTGGAATTCCAAGATGGTTTAAGTGTGTGGGTGAGGGGCAGAAAGCATGAAAAAAAAAACAAAACAAAACAAAACACATCAAGCTCCTTATGCTTCTTGCCCATCCTCAGTTTATCTATGCTCATTGAACAGAGATGAGAGCAGATCTGCATTAGTATTTTCTGTCTGCATCTGCTGTACCCAGGCAAAAATGCCTCGAGGCCTGCCCCAACTGTCCTTCCCCCACAGTGCTGTTAATGTACTGACAGGCACTGTTTTGTCCTAGTAATTTGTTTACACATTTCCACTACATCTTATTTTCTGCATGTCTGTGCTCTAATTTTATTTACCAGCTTTTCAACCCCAAAGGTAAAAAAAAATAAAAGGAGATACCAAGAACAAAAAAAGAAATGGCAGGAAACTCATGTCTTTGTTCTTCTCACATGGACAGTAACACTCTCTTTCCATAGCTGCCCTTGCCACCACATGACAAATCGCACCTCTGTACTCTTCTGAGTGTTCCCTCAGTCCTGTCTGTTTTTTCCAACTGGGCAGTACAAAGTAAAGGGATTTGTGGAGTGACAGTTAATTCAGATAATTGTGTTTTCCTGCTGTCTGTTTATTGGAGATGCCAGTGCGCTGAGGGCAGAGGATCCCACGTGCACATGTATGCCTTATGTAGTGCACTGCATGCCTGCAGCTGCCCTTCTCTCATCCCATCTGTTGGAGATGGATGTTGATTTCGCTCATCTTGCCTCCTAAAAAATCAGCAGTAATAATGAATGAGCTCAGTGTTCAGTGGAATGTTGGCAGATTTATCTGGGCACATTAAGTGCATGTGCTATGCAAGGTTTCTGTGCTGCAAAAACACAATCAAATCTGTGGATCTGAATCCCATGATTAAACATCCCATGGTAGTTAGGTCTTTGCATCACTGTCACCTCTGTGGATTTCAATCTATCACTTTTCCTCTCACCAAGAGACCTTTCTGTTGTGTTTCCTGTCTACCTTGAATTTTTTTTACTGTAATTGTCAGCTCAAAGACTAGGCTCAGAGCTGAGAGCTTGTTAGGCAATGTCAAAGGACTTTTTAGATTTTTTTTTTTCTTTTTTGTCATGAACAAGGTTAGTTTTTTGAAACCTTCTATAAAGGGTTATTGTGTTGTTGTCAAATGTTAATTCATATTCACATTTTCCCTGACAATTTCTAAGCAAAGTCCCTTTTTCAGGTCAAAGATATTTTCTTTTCATCTTAGTCGAATTTTTATTGTAAATTAAAAGCTGAGTATGAAATGACAGCTTTTTAAACCTTGAAAATATTTGCCATCTTAGCTTTTCATCCCAGCCCAAAGTGTAAATAATTCTGAAAACCTCCTAAGAACAGTACAGAAGAGTAATACCAATTCAGCTACCTATGTGCTGTAATTGTGGAATGCAGCATCACAGGCTTTCAAGTCTGCTACGGAAATATCTATTCACCTAGAAGTATAACTCCTACTAGTGCAGCCCACATGACTATAACTCTTCAAACTGTTCCCACTTTCTTGCTATCCTCTGCTTGAACCCCCTTACTATTTTCTTCCTTATACAAGAACTTCTCTACTAAAGCAAACCAAAATTTACTCTTCCCATGGAAGGTACTTAAGGAGGAATGGTAGAAGCAGAATTCATCCTCTTAGCCTCAGTCAAATGTTAGGGACATCTTGAAATAAAGGTTCCACACTATGGTAACTGATTCTTTTTCAAGTTTTCTGTTTAGTTTGTTATTTGTTAGTTTTACCATAACATGAATTAGATGTAAAGTCCTGTGTTTTGTTGTGGTTTTGTTTTATTTTGTTTTACTGCACATATATAACAATGCTATGCATTTGTCAGAATTCTGCAAAAAAATAGCAGTAAAGAAATTGTAAAAGTCTTATCTTTGGATTGTGAGAACAGGGAGCAGTGGACACTGTAAACAGTGACTGTGTTGGTAGCATTTTTTTCAGAAGAATCAAGTAAGAAAAGGAATGAAGAGAAAGTCTGTTGCCTTTCAAAGTAATCAAAGTAATTCATGAAGAAAACAAGTCCCTCCAGGAAGTCAAAACTCACTTTCCATCCTCTAATAATGATGAAGAGCAGTTAGAAATAAATTAACAAACACGCTTTTTGGCAAATATGTCTTATATGAAATGTGACAAATGAAGGCAGATGTCCTATAACTAGTAATCCTGATTGCGAGTCCCACTTCTTTGTTTAAAAGATTATATCTTGTTACTGACTGGAGACATCTATATATGCATACTATATCTCCCAGATGTAAGAAGAGTCAACTGTCATTCTGGGGTAAAATGGAGAAAATATTAATGCAGTCCTGAGGACAAAGACTTCAGGGTGTTGGTTGATGAGAAGCTCAACAAGAGCCAGCAATGTGTACTCACAGCCCAGAAAGCCAAATGTATCATGGGCTGCATCAAAAGCATGGCCAGCAGGGTGAGGGAGGTGATTCTCTCTCTCTACCCTGCTCTCGTGAGACCCCACCATGCGTGCCGTGTTCAGCTCTTGGATCCCCAACCTGAGAAAGACACAGACCTGTTGAAATGAGTACAGAAGAGGGCAACAAGGATGACCAGAAGACTGGAATGTGTCTCCTATGAAAACAGGCTGAGAGAGTTTGGGTTTTTCTGAGAATACAAGTCTAGAGAATACAAGTCTCCAGGAAGACCTTATAGTGTCCTTCCAGTATGCAAAGAGGGTCTACAGGAAAGCTGGGGAGGGACCCTTTGTCCAGGAGTATAGCGATGGGACAAGGAGTAATGTTTTTAAACAAAAAGGGGTAGATTTATAGTAGATATTGGGAAGAAATTCTTTACTCTGGAGGTCGTGAGTCACTGGAGCAGGTTGTTCAGAAGAGTTGTGGATGCCCCATCCCTGGAAGTGTTCCAGGCCAGGTTTGATGTGGCTTTTGAGCAACTTGATCTAGTGGGAGATGCTCCTTCCCATGGCAGTGGTATTGAAACTAGATTAACTTGAAGGTCCTTTCCAACCCACACCGTTCTATGAGTCTGTGATTCTATAATGCTATGATCATGACCAATGTCATTTCTTACGGTCCTCAGACATCTCACTGGAAGTCTCATTGCCTTTTTCCACTTACAAATATCCCACAAAGTAACAAGATTGAATTGATTCATACTTCATTGTATTTAAATTGTACACTTTTCATTGTGTATGATTTTAAATCTGAAACACAGGCTTGGCATACAGAATTAAATATACAAGAATGAGAAATGTCTTTTCCTCTTTGACTGCTTTGTAAATTACTATATTTGATGGAACAAGGATATGTTCACAACCCACTGAAACTATCAGAAAATTTTGCATCAACTTCCCTAAATTCAGGAGTCCAAAAGGAATATTATGGCAGCAAAATCTACTCTTGTATAACGGCCTCAAGTTCCTCCTGCCAATGCACATCTTCTAACAAATATGCCAAAAAAAGCTGAATCTTCTCAAAGCGGAAAAGACATTGGAGGTTTTCATGTCCTTGCTCTGAATTATTTTAATATCTATGAATGCTCATAGCCCATAGAACTTTGATAAGTTCACTCTGAAATCAGTCTATTTTCAAACACTCAAAACTATCCATAAAAAAGATTAATTCTGCCTCCACATGTGCATATGTGTAGTCTGTTCATGTCAGCTAGGGATACACTTAAGCACATAATCAAGCACCTCACTAGATCTGCTCACTACAAAAATAAATAAATAAATAAATAAATAAATAAAAGAAAAGAATAGAATAGAAAATGTAGTTGAAAAGCAGTTGAACATCCACATGACAAGGGTGGAAGCCCACCACTTAGAGGCCTGAGGTTTGCATCAACCTACAAGCTCCCCAAGCCAAATTACTCTTTTCTTGCTTGCTTGCTTTTTTTTTTCTTCTTCTTTTCTTTTTTCCCTGTTTCTAAAGAGGATACAAAGAACAGCTTCTTTTAAAAGGATGTGGTTCATATAAATCAGTTTCAGATAAATGCAGCTGAGCTTTCAGGTCCTCAATGGGTATAAACCAGAAGAGCTCCAGTAATGTAAAAGAAATTAGGCTAGTTTATGCCAGATTAGAATCTGCCTGGATTAGACTCCAAAATGGCAGAGACAGGTCTCATAGCATTCAGTTCAAAAAGTAGCACAGGAAAGTAGTGTTTTCACACAAACTCCTCAAGCCTTCTCTTTTGAATTTAACTTCAAATGGTGGAGCAAAGCAACTTGCTTCCCTTGGGTCTGCTGTTTTTGTGCTCATCAGGCTCATTCAATGAACAATTTTCACCAGAAAATGTAGTTTTTGTCTATTCTCTGCCTCAGAATTAGGGCCCATGGGCAAGTCAGCAAGATGCAGATTCTCACAGACATTTTAGATGCTGTCCTCAAATTAGTACTTCAGTTAACTTTCAGAAAATGCCACATGGTTGGATTTCACCTAATATACTTGCTCTCACAAAATAAATAAATAAATAAATAAATAAATAAATAAATAAAAGTCTCTGTTATCCCAGGCCAGTGGCAGATCTCTTGAACTACATTCCTTCTTAAATAACACAATGACTGGGAGCTTTGAAAGGTTATGCTAGCAGTCCTTAGAAACGTGCATATTCTGTGACAAAGGACATATTGCAGACATTTATTAATCCCTGAGCTGAAGTGACATAGAAGTTACTTGTAGCCTGATGAAACGTGTAACACCCAACTGACTCACATGGCTAATACCAGTTCTAAACTTAGCCGTAGTCAGAATTGTAATTAAGAGCATATACATTTAGGGAATAGAATAATCTACTATTCAAGTCCAAACAGCCTTGTGAAGCATTACTGCTAAACTGAATTTACCACTGACTGGTAATTTTTTCACCATCCCAAATCCTATGTCAGAAGATGTTCAGGCTGTTACAGATAGATACATATTAGGCTGTAGATAAAAATAATGATATAGATTTAGATATTTATGACTATAAAACATTATTCTTTTAAAAACTTATATCTGTTATACACATGTGATGTGGATCTGCTGAAGGGGGAAATAAATAATTTTATTGAGTTATAGCCAGGAAAAAAGGCATAAAGAATACAGGTAATGCACATTTTTCAAATAGCAATATAAACATAAACAGAAAAACGTTCAAGTTAGAGTCACATGAAAGATTAGGCTAATCTTCAGATGCATTTTAGACTTGTATGTACAGCAGTTTTATGTTAAAAGTTGAAATACAAACTCCAGACATGCAACGTATCTCAAGATTACAAAATAAATAAAGATGAATGCAAATAAGAACCAACACTTGAATCTTCTTCCAGAACAATGAGAAAATTTGATATGTTAGAAACATTGTAAAAGTTACCCAAAGTATAAGAACTTATTTACAAAAGAGAAAGCACAGAGCCCCAGTGGTTTGGGGGATAAAAAAGAGACATTAATTTATTTCCAAACAAAATCTCAGGTAGTTAGGTCTTCTTGTGCCTGGGAGTGAATTCAAAAGTTTTGAATTTTTATTGCACTCTGAACACTCCTTTTGTAGTACTAAACAATTCCTCTATGAAAGAAACCTCCAAGAAGAACAGGCTTTCAACAGTTTGAAAGAAGAAATCCATCTCAATGAGAGTGCATGCTTCATGGGGATATCACAGTTATTTGTCCAGGTGAAAGTTTTTTCAGCTATTTCTGCTAACCAAAGATGATTAGAGAACAAGGAATAAATATGTTTGGTTTCAGTCGCTGCAACAGTATCTTCCCAATAGTCAGTATCTGCAAGAGGAAAGCAACCACACTTAGGTAATGCAAAAAACTATAGAAAGTATCAAGATAAAATCATTAGGCTCTACACTGCATACAGAATAATGGCTTAGATTCAAGTGAAAAATGCACCATTATTTCACTTTTCTTTCAGAGGTGCTATTATTAACTGAGTTTCACTAAGCATCATCAGTGGTTTTCCTGCTGGAAAGGTTTCCTTCATCAATTTTATGCATAATGAAACATCCTAGAGGAAAACAGTATTGCTTCCCCTATTACTGTTCTTGCAAATTAGATTTTTATGGAGGGCTTTATTCTCTTCAGAAAAATAGGTCAGCTCCCCTGCAGTAATATACACGGTACAAGGCCTACCTATCTGCTTGCAATGAATACAGTAAATGTAACAACCCCTTCATGCTGGGCATTTTGACATGCAACTAATTCCAACTGGTAAAATGACTATTTCCAACGGACAGATTTCCCCTGACCTCAGAGTTGAATAGAGGCCTAAATACTTAAACCCTTTTCTAATTCCAATCTCCCACTCTGAAAATATAGGCCAAAAATATCCCCTTCCAAGAGATTAGTCCTGGAACTTTATTGGACTTAAAGTTACATTCAAACAAACAATGTCCTAAGAAAAACGGTGGCTACTGAATAGTAAACAAAATGTATTCCAAAGGCATCACATCATGATTACAATGACTTCAATTTTTCTATAACTTCTAAAATAAATGTATTTTCTTTATGTATTGGAAAATAAAAAGACATGATACATAAGAACAAGTTAAATAAATGGAAATATAAAGAATATATTAAATAGATGGAAATAAAAATATAAAATAACTGTTTGCTTAAAACCAGTATAAAAAGAAACAGAACATATATTCCAAAATAGCTTCCTAGGCAGACTCTGTAAGACAAAACATAGGGAAAAAAAAAGAAAATTAAAAAAAAAAAATTAAAAAAAAATAAATAAAAAGGATTAATCAAAGTAGTTTCAATTACAGGAACTGAAGAATTTCTTTTAAACTGGGTCTGAGAGGGAGTAAGAACTGCTCTGACCACAAACGTATACCTCAGCCATAATACTTTACAAACACATGCCTGACTTAAATCATGTGTCTTTAGATTGGTCATGATTTAACAACACCTTTTTTTCAATATGTGTGCAGATACTTCACTCCTTCAGGCAGCCTGAAAGGACAAGTAGGAGGGAGAACCCTACAAACATTTGTCATCCACATTCTGAGAGCTGCAGCACAGGGACCACACTGTCACCTTGCTGCTTGTCAGAGAAGGTTGCCCTGTCACTTGTTTTCATGTTCCTCAGTTGTGACTTAACATGCAAAAAGCCACATGAAATCCATTTGAAAATTTTTGAACTGAATCCATATGAAGTAAAATAAACACTTCTTCCTATCCCCGAATACAAAAGACATGGCTTCTTCCAAAAGAGATGTCTGTGTGTTAATCTGCAGTGAAAACAGTGTCAGAGATGGTACCCTTTGAAGTTAAAGGAGAGTTTCCTGCTGCCGTTATGATGCCCAGATTCCTGACTGAGTTGAGAAATAACATGGTAATAGGCTTCCTAAGCTTCAAATAGCTCTCTGTAGATCACTCTCTTGCTCCATTGATCGTAGGAGGCATCAAGGTGACTGAGTTAGATGTTTTACTCAAATACTTCAAACAGCTGAACTGAAAACAGTGGTTCCCTATGAGGGCTCCTAATTCTGTTGTGAGTAATTCTCTCAGCATGAAGTTCAGCCAGGACAGGGTGGTAGATTTGAGTAGAAAAATAGGGAATGACATCTCAAACTTAAATACCTGATTTTTCCTCTGCTCTTTCTACTTTATTTTTTTTCTCTCTACTGAATTGTGTTAGCTTGAATCAAAGTTGATTTTTTTTGTCAGCTTTCTTAGTATTTTTGTACTTTTCTTCTTTCTTTCCTGTTCCTGGAGAACAGGAAGAAAACAAACAAACAAACAAACAAAAAAAAAAAAAAAAAAAAAAAAAAGAAAGTTGGAAAAAGAGAGGAATTTTAAAAGAAAAATTATTTGGTTTTGTTTTTATTTTAAAATTAACTGAATTTTCTTTGTAATTTAAAATTAACTGAATTTGACATATTCATATAAAATATAAAAATGATGAATGCTGCAAAAGTGGCATTTTTATACTCTTTGATTACATGTTTTTACTGTATGAACTTCTTGATTAAGAATTGTCAGACTAAAAGGTGCAAGCATTAGAAGTCCCTGTAAACTGGCATCCTGAGCCATAATCTTTCAGGGCAGCATACAGAGGTCAGTTTTGAGCAGTAGAGCATCTACGGTATAATATAGTAGTGTATGTAATACAAGCTAGGATAACACAGAGTAAGAGATTAATATTCTGCATCATATTGTGCTCTGTTATTTTTATCCTGCTGTTTCTTTCAACTCACCGTCTCATGACTCACACCCTCCCCACACTGGAATTTCTGTCTCAGTCCTGTGGCTCATTGGTGCGCTATGGAAGACGATGCCATGGAAAGCCATCTGGAGACCTGCACTACTGCATGAGCTCCAGACCACTCTGAAAAGCACAGAGACAGAATTATTTACTGATTTTTCATGCAACTACTCTGACATGCAGTTTCTCTAGCAATCAGTCTTCAGTATTTGTGAAGGTTGAAGTTCTTCCTGTTCTTATTGCCTTGGTGATGTCCCTAGATATGAAAAGGGTTAAAAAATTCAAATTTCTGGTAGTCTTAAGGAAAACTGACACTGTAAAAAACCTTTACAAAAATTACTAGCCTCCTCCTGTGAGGTGTTGCGGGCCCCTTTTGAGACACGTTAATGAAATGCAGTATCAATAAAATAGCTGTTCATTACACATTTCTTGACTAGCTTTATCACCTTAGGGCATGATCTTAGATGCCACAATAGAAAGACCATCAAGGATTTATGCTTCATGAACCCAAAACACAGTTACCTGATATGGAATAGTGAGAGCCATCCCTCACCGGCAGACATGTGATGAAGACCAGGTCATAAGAGGAATTAGATGCTTAAATCCTTAGTAATTGCATGCTTAGGTACTGTAATACAAAATCCCATGCCAGTCTGCTGCAGTATAAACCTGTATTCATACTTCTTAAGGGACTCATCTTCTCGAGTCTTAGACTCTAGATTCTGTTGAAATCCAGAAATAACTAGACAGGAATCTGAGTATTATCAAATTCCAGAAATGAGAGTGATCATAGGAAACTCAGTTTTCTAGGCTATTTCCATTCCATTCCATTCCATTCCATTCCATTCCATTCCATTCCATTCCGTTCCATTCCGTTCCATTCCGTTCCATTCATTTCTTTATGTCTCTGTTGAGTGTTAGAGACCTCTTTCAAGAATCAGCACTTTCAACTCCATTTTCCTGAGAGCATTTTCTAACCAAACAGAAGCAAAGAACAGAGAGGATTCACTTCTTTTGTGAACTCCCTAGGTTAGAGGGAATACCTCAATAACATGTGAATTAGCAATTGGATACCATGTATTCCTTCAAGAATATTATAAATCTAAGGCTAGATGGTCATCTTTTCTCCTTTTTCATTAGGAGAAGTCAAAGAAACATTGTCAATGGAACATCTGCATCCTGCCAAAAAAATGACATTTGTATCAGGAAAGAGAATCTCAGGGCTGAGAATTCCACTCAGTAGCAATATTTGTCTCACACAGCTACTGGAGCAGTGAGGTCTCCAAGGACTTTAGCAAGTATTTAGTCAAAGCATTCTGCTTTTTTGCTGAGGTGGTAGGTAGGAATGGCTTGGATATGGGGTAAGGTTAGCAGAGGGATCATTTGTGCTACAGTGCATTATTCCAGCTTTCACAAACAAATCTGCCAAAAGGTCTCAACTAGCCCTTTATCTATCCCTTTTAAATCATGTGGCCTCCTGCTTTTCCACTCTGTCAAATCTTGTTTTGCAGGTAACAAAACAGAACAAAATAAAGAAAAATATGTTTTATTCCTATCACTGTTTTGTTCTCCAAATTTGTCTCGGGGCAAACTTCATATACTGTCAACTCAACTCAAGTCCTATATGTGGATTTCTGATGGTGACTCAGAGAAAAGGCAACAAATCTTTTGTTGGTAACCTAAGCCAGCAGAGACATTTTGCTGCTCAGCATCCAGATGCCAGCTCAAGTCACCCATCACATCCTCTGCTCTCTCTTCTTGTCCATTCCCAATGTAGCTGGCTGCCTGGAGGGAAGAGGATGTGCGTGAGAAAGAACTAAGACTGAAGGCTTGCACATCTTCACCACATTCAAATGTCAGGTCTTCCATGAAGACAAAGGACAGAAACTTCCCTCAGTCCACTCACAATCTAGAAATGTGACCCCAGACTGGTAAGTCATGTCATTTCTCTTGGATAACTCTTCCAGCTGGAGGACAATCCATGCAAAAGCCTGCGGAGGATATGATTAGTGACCTGAAATGAAGCCTGGGAAAACTGCAGTAGAAGCTTCCACTAGAGTCAGCACCTCAGGACAACAAATGATGTTGCAGTTTGATAGATGATTACAACAACAACATAAACCACCCGCTACAGGGTATTGGAGCAGTTAGAGAAAAGCTTGTTAAAGCAGCAGTGTCCTGCTGTGAGCAGCTGTGGGCTTTCTGTTCAATAGACAGGCTCCTTGGTACTACTGACTTAAACAAAACTTTTTGCTTGTAAAACTCACATCAACAGTATTTTCAAGTAGTGTTGAGCTGCAGTCTCTTGTCCTGAATCTGTATTTGTTTGGAGCTGTTCTAAGATGACTATATGAAGTAAATGGGGCTTTTGAAATGTCTTAGTTTTCAGGTTTGTCTTATCATCTGAGAGGCAAAAAAATCCAGAAAAACAATTGCTCATAACAGCTGGGAAATCACTTGTAAACAGGAATTCTTCACTCACATCAGGCTGGTACTGTGTTGCTGCACTTCCTTGCACATGTCTCATCCAGGTGATCCAAACACAAGGGAGGGAAGTTGCAGAGGCACAGTCCAGTGTGCTCACTGCTCACCAGTAGTTGACAAGCAAGGTACTTTTTCAGTGATTTTTTTTTTTTTTTTTTTTTGAGGATGTTAGGTCTCAAAAGAGATATGCGGTATGGAAACATGCCTGTTTTACATGTAGTTCAGAGTTCTCTGGGAAAGGTTCTCAGATGGGACACTAGGTCTTTACCAGCTCTTGCAGACAATATCTTGAAATTCCTTCCTCAAGAAAGCTTGTCCCACAACATGTCTCTGTGACAGCCGCTTGTACATGATTGATGAAATTATGTAAGGGCACTGTAGGCTGAAAGACTATGTGTCCTGGACGGTAACTGTACAATTGTACAATTTTTTCTGGGCCAATCTAAACATGATGCTAACTGAAAACATGAAAAGAATGGTCTCACTCCTTGTGACTTCCCAAGGTAACAGCAAACACTCTCAAACATACACAAAAAAAGAAATTAAAACGGAAGATTCCTGTGTCTTGCCACATTCCCATACGCAGCAGCCGGTAGTAGGTAGTCAAATGAAGCTTAAAGGTTGATCTACACTATTTTTTGATATGTGCTAGGCAGTAGATGTGATTAATTGGAGGAGTTTTGAGGGGAGGAGATGGAAGGGATGAGAATGAAAAAGCAGATTTAGAAGATATCCTCTTGGGATTTTAAACAGCCACTTCAAACCCCAAGTTGTCAGTATTCTAATGAGCAACTTGAACCTGAGTCTCTAATGTTGGTTATAGTCCCAAGTCACTCACACTGATTTGGTATACTATTATCCTTTCATCTCACATGAAAAAAACAAATGGTTGAGTTAATGGAGGAAGGAAACTGGGTAGGGAACACAATACACATTCAACTCTACTATGGGTCATAAAGGATTTCGGTCAACCAGCTGTCAAATAGAGCAACCCACAATTTTTCCTCACTACTACAAACCTTCAGGAGATCTCATTCATCTTTGATGGCTTGGGATGTCAAGACCCACCCTCTTCGTCTTCCCGCTCATTAAATGAAAAGCTGAGTGAGGCTCTGAGTCCATGACAGATGGTGTGTGTCACTACAGGCTTCAAGTTTATATGTTTACATCCTCACCTAACAAAATGTCTTCTGGCACTGTTAATCTACGAAACTATGCAAATACTTTTCTGAACTCATCCCATTTTAATCCTGTATGTAGGAATTTTCAACCTTATCTGCTAGCAGATTTCTCAAACTTATTTTAAATAGGATTTTTAGTACATGCATCCCCTCTAAATGCATCTTGACTGCACATGGAAGCCACCATTGGATATAAACATTAGCAGGCACTGAAAATAACACAGAACGAGATTAGTTCCTTGCTTGGTGCATCTCTGAAAAGCACTTAAAGTAATTGAAGCAAGACTAAAGCTTCCAGGATGAAACTGAATCTTTAAAGTGTAAGAATTTTGCCTTGAATATGAGGTGTAACCAGTTTCAAGACAAGTATTACAGTGCTATATTTTGAACAAGAGTTAACAGGAAAGAAATCTGGAGGGAAAAAAAAAAATGCTACTTGATATTTTGGCACTAGAAGCATGTGAGATATTTCTCCTTCTTACAAAGAGTTTATGTCCTAAGAGGAAAGATTTATAGTTTGCTTTTTCAAGTATCTACAAGTAAGTTTTGGACTTAACAGTATTAACTGATTCATGCAACTTTTATACTTTGTCCATGAATGATTTAGTTGCCAATCTCACTGTATTTTAAGTAAGATCATCACCAGATGGTGAGCAAATAGACTCACTTATTAAGGGATTTTATAAAAAGTGTAACTCAGCAAATATACCTCTGAAACACCATACTGATGTGCAAGAATCTAACAATTTTCCCTAAGAAACTACCTGATGCTACTGTAACAGGATTCAAGTTATTGACAGAGATCATCAATATTCTCTCTTTGAAAGGATTGTCAGAATCCTCTCCTCTGTATGAAAGAGAATGCTGAGTTCAATTCAGATCATTGGGAAGTCAGTGGCAAAGTTCCAAGGATTTGAATAGAACCAGGGCTGGGCCTATTGTTTTTGAGACAGACACTGGTAATTATCTAAACTGCACAATTTAACTGCCACAAAAAGGGTCAGATTAGCTTTTCATTTTCATGCTATGTAATTAAATCAGCCCTGATATGTTCATTAATATGAGAGCGATCATCCTGAGGCATTGCTTTTCCTCTGTCCCTGCTTTTGCCCAGGCTATGATGTGAGGGCATACTTCTCTGTGAACTGGGAATGAAGACCAGGAATATAATAACATCAGAAAAAATAAAGAGTCTGCTGAAACAATACCATCTACCTCAATACGAAGAAGTATTGGGCAGGTTTCTGGTCCTAAAGCTACCAGCTGCAAAGGCAAATTCAGGCTGGCAAGGCAATGTTGTGTCTGACAGAATATAACTTCAACAGGTGTTGCTAGAGCCTGTAGGAGGTGTTGTCTCTCTGAGCCTCACAGAGGCTGTCAAAATTAGCAGGACAGCTTGATAAGGCAGTCTCACTAATGTCTTTGCTAGTTGTTCAAAGAACAAGGCCATTCACAAATTGAAAAGAGCAAAAGATGAAACCATCTTTCAGCACAGTCTCACACACCCACAGCCAAGACACACAGATTTACTTTCACTGCAACACTTGAACATCTCCAGAGAAATAAGATTATTGAGCTCCAAATGGCTAACGGACCCAGTCAGTGCTCAGTGGAGTCCTTTATCATTCATTGTTGCTCCTCATAACTTAGAGCATTCACTAACGTATCTCAGCCTCCTGAAGCCTACAGAAACAAGTAAATCAAAACTTTTAGATCTCAGCAGATCATAACATCCTATTCTGTATTCAGGGGACAATTTTACAGTGAATGCAGCAGTCATTTATTCCTATTGAATGTCCACTGTCACTGTCACTAACACATCTCTTGTCATCATTGGTCCATGTTGATCTTTTCTTGAATATTTACATTTCCTCTGGAGAGGTGGAAGTGAAATAAAGTATCATCCCCTCCTCCCCCCTTCTTCTTCTTTTTTAAATATTTGGGACAAAAAAGAACTTTGAGGGCCTTCAGAAGGAGGAAAAAGCTAGATGAATATACAACTAAATGGCCAGTAAAATTTGTAACAATATAATGTATAAAGAAAAAATATTCATAAGCATTACAGGGATATAAATATCTGTATACATTCTGGAAAAAAAAAAAAAAAAAAAAAAAGCTAGAATACTTCTGGGAATGTCTATGTGAGCAGTGTAAAGACAAGATAGCCAGAATGTTCAACAGAAGCATTCAAATTTGAATATGCCCAACTCTCACCACAGTGAACATCCAGAAGACCTGGCAGCACCCACTTTGGGTAAGTGCTCCTCTTCAGCTCCTGAGAAGGACTACCAGTGCAGACACAGCCTTTACTACCTGCAAAGTGAAGGTTTTGATCACTATGCAAGCTGCAATCAAGGTTATGAAGATGCCAGGGTGCATGTGGAAAATAAAATGAAGCTGAAAATGTCATGCCGCCTTTACATTAATTAGTGGATCAGCGCCATTTAGGATCCTGTGAACAGATTTAGATGCTGGAGTTCAAAACATGAAAAGGCCCCCAGAAAATATGCTAATGTCCAGGGCCTTGATCAACTGTCATATGTAAAGTTGTAGAAAAGACTGGGTTATTTACTTCATAAAGGATAAGACTTTCAGCAAAATGTATGTTATAGAGAACAAAGTAAATCAGACTAGGACTTTTTGTTCACTGAGAAAAATATGCTAGGGACAATCAATAAAATATATGTCAGGCAGTTTAAAAACAGGAAAAGGAAATACTTTTTTACAAGGCATGCAATTAAGCCATGGAATTAGTGACACAGGAAATTGTACAGGGAAAATACTTAACTGTATTCCAAAGGGGCAGGATATTTAAGGGAATATCCAGATTATCCACAATTATAAGTTATAGACAATAAAAACATGGAATCAATGGCTATTCCAGCTATCTTTTCAAATCCTTAGTGTTAGTGTGGCTATGACGCTATACAATGTCTTTAAACATCATTTTGTTACTTATAACTCCTCAGATAAGTTTTCTTAAGGAAACCCCCAAGTCCCATTTGCCTTAAATTCCTCCTGCCTTCTATAGCTCCGTTTTATCCAGGTTAAATATTATGCACTGACAGTGACACCCAGCCCTATATAGTTCCATGTGATGCCTTTCTGGAGAGCACAGAACCAATTTGAATCATAATTTAAGTTTGGAGATGACAGTGAATAATAATTATCTCATCCTTAACCTTTTGCAGACTGCTGTCTCTGATATTTTTTCACTCTTTCTGAGCAAGGTGCAGACCCATTGCTATTCCATCCAACTGATAGTAGGAAAGTTTACTGAAATCAGCAGCAGTGCTGCTTAAACCCATATTTACTGAAGCCAGTAGCAAATTTTCCATTAAATTCTGTAGTAGAGTATCACGCCTTCAGAGTCCAGATACAATTCAAATCAAATAAAAATAGAGCAGACATTTCTCTGACCCTAATTCCAGGTCACCAGTCTGTTTTGCAGCTAGGAAAGGTAAAGTATTGTTCATAGCTCACAGGATTAAGTTACTCTTCATTCAATAGCCAGGAAATTTGATGAGAGCTATGACATATCTGCATATTGAGCAGCACAGGTCATTCTCAATTCTACCTGTACTTCATGCTGGCTCATACTGATTGCATTCAATACCTACAGATGGCAAAAGGAATTTAGGACCTGGGGGGGAAAAAAATAAATAATAAAAAAATTCAAGACTCAGTGCATTGTAAAATTATGCCATTTGTTTACAGCAAATTATAAACATGGCATGGCTGTTTGTCAATGATTTTCAGTCCTTTCAGACTTATCAAATGACTCTTAAAAATGGGGATTTTATGCTTAGGAAAAAGTCATTTTTAGTCTGTTTAGTCCCTGCGCAGTCATTCTCCTTTAAAATAATAAAGTTTAAATTTGTTTCAGTATTCTGATATGGACTTAGTTATATTGAGTCAGACTTACCTTTAGACTTACACAGAGGTGTATGTACCACTTCCAGTCATCACACCATCACACATCAGATCTAGCTATTATTCAGGTTAAGTTTTCAAAGTGTTCCCATGTAAACGAAGCCTTACAGCTTTTGAAAAAACCTACCTCCGACATGTGGTCTTTCTCTACAGCAGGAAAATTGCAGTAACATCCTAAAGTCTGATGACCCATAGTAATGCCCATATCACAGACACTGCATTTTGCCCAAGCAAATGTAGCTGCCACCAAAATAGGCCAAAATTCTACAATGTAAACTGCATGATGATTCTCAGAACATGTATATATTTTGGCAATGCCCCAGCTACACTTCTGTCCTTTCTTATGATTTATAACCTATAGAAGTAACAAAAGGTAAAGCACAACTATTTGGGGATTTGCCTTTTCTTTCTTTCTTCCTTTCTTTCTTTCTTTCTTTCTTTCTTTCTTTCTTTCTTTCTTTCTTTCTTTCTTTCTTTCTTTCTTTCTTTCTCTCTCTCTCTCTCTCTCTCTCTCTTCTCTCTCTCTCTCTCTTTCTCTCTCTCTCTTTTTTTTTTTTTTTATTTCTGTAAAAGATGCTTTTGTAAGATATTCCTTGCTTTTAGCCTGTGTGCTTATAGAATTATTTTGAAAAGCTAGTAGGCAGATGGTCCCCAAATGTGAGTTAATAACTTGTAGGTAGCTTTTGGGGAAGCTTTTTGAAATCCCTTCATGCAAAATGATTTTACAAACTGCCTGCATGCCATTCTTTGACTATTCTAGCAGACTTTCACAATGGTCAAGAGAAAATAGCAGATTATATTCTATTTGTATTGCAGCAGGTTGTTATATTTATTTTCCAATGGTGCAAGAATATAAAGGGAAACAAAATAATTCACAAGGCTTTTGCTGAAGATTTTTCTAAAATTTCGAATTCCTTACTGGATACAAAGTCAGGTTCTGTGTGCCTATACCCCTCTTCTGTAGCCTTTCTGCAGTATTTATTATCATTCAAAAAAGGCTGTTTTTTCACAAAATTGAATAGGCTGAGGATTTGACAACCATGAGTCAGACTTCACAGCATCATAATCTTAATTGAAAAAAACAGATTTTAAATGTAGAGCTTTTCCTGTCTACCTTTGCATTGTTACATATACTGCATTTTTGCATAGTAAAAAGTTAAAAATGTTGTTAGTGTCTGATCTGTAGAGAATTTTACCATTTTTTTTAAACAGATATCACAAGAAAGCCATCACTACAATGACGACAAAATGCTGTACTCTTTCTTAGCAATGGCAACAGATCAAACACCTTCTAATTCCCCCACAAATTTTCCATATATGAACTGATGAAGTTTAAGTGCCCTGACTTCAGGATGATCCATAATTTCAACCCAAGATATTAAAAATAAATAAATAAATAAAAAATAGCTACACATACTGTTAATACATGTGTATCCATATTTCCTTTCTAAAATCTCCAATTGCTTCACTTCTTACAGCTCTCACAAGGAGAGGATGAGAGAAACAATACACCAAGGCTGTTAGATACATTTCTTACAGCATTGTTGGAGGTGGTGAATGCAGAATCAGTAATGAACACTGTATGAGAATGTAAATAAAACAGATCACAATGGCCAGGAGCAGAAGTGATAAACAAATTTGTAAATTCAACAGCAAATTGTATATAACAACTATTCTACTAGATGCCACTAAATTGACGGTAATTCTGGCCAGGTATACTTAACGCTTTCATTTGAGTTTATGATTGTAAGACATGTTGGCAGCAAGTGTGACCACATTGTACTTAAAATTAAGATATTAGTATCCCATTCAGGAAATACATTCTCTGTTGTGCACCCTGGCACTATGTGACCTTGGGAAAGTAGTTCAGGGCCCAGTTATGCTTTTCAGGTCCCATTTTAAACACAGCACAGTAATATTTCTTGCTTTTCTTACCATCTATTCTCAAAGCAGGCCATGAAGTCCTATCCCATAAAGAAAATGCCACCGTGGAAGTAATATGTATGGATAGTTGGTTTGTAAGTAGGGAGGAATCAACAAACTCTCTGCATAGTACTTTATTCTTACAAAAGGAAATAGGATGAGCTGTTATTCAGTTCCAGGAAGAAAAGAAGCTGCAGCTAGCACTACTGCTGTGCATGGATGCTATGGGGCATACAAACTAATCTACTTAAACTCAGCCTTTTTAAAGTCTAATACTAAAGAGAGAGCTTTCTTGAAAACTCTTTCCTCCATTCCTCCTAACCCTCCAAGCACTCCACTTCAATGCAGCAGAAAAGAATAAGAGTTTTGGTTTCAAGATTTTGTTTCCTCAACTTGTAAAACACCAGGATGGCATGAGACAGACCATGACAAACCTGGTCCCAAACTCACTGAAATCAAGAGGGGTCTCTTGGTCTCTGCCTGTCTGTCTCTCTCTCTCTCAGTTACAACGGACTTTAGGAGAAGTTAGAAGTCTGAAATTTGTTCTGAATGTACTGCTAGAAGAATGGAAGGACTCTGTCTAAATATGCTCTTATTTGCCATATTACTAAGCACAACTCTGCTTCTTGCTGTAATTCTATAAATGGCATCTAATCAGTATTTGTTACATTTCAGAGAAGTCTGTGAATACGTTTTTTTAATAATGTATTTCATTCACTATGTCCTTCCTGTATTCATAGAGTACAATTTTAGGAAAGCTAATGTAGTAACTTTTCCCTAAGAAAAGCAGTATTCATTTGGCTATCTTTTCTTTGTGCACTCAGCTACCTTTACAAAAGTTTTAAAAATATTTTTTTTAAGGCTAGAGTCCTGCCAAATTTGCTTTAAAACAGCCAAGACATTCAAAAACTACTGATAAAAGACAAAACCAAAAACACAGAGTACCTAAAAAACTCTCCCCTTGGAAACAATCAAATCCTTTTACGGAACGAATCAGAATGAATCCAACTCAGTTCAACATGCTGTCTTCTGTAAGGCTGATATACTCTATTTCTGTGGTACTCCACACAGCAGTTGCAGAGAAATCCTAACATATGTCAAAATAGCTGTACCTAGACTTTCTGCTCAGACCACCAATAAGCCAGAGTGTCCCTGAGTGGGGAGCCATCCATAATATAAGCCAGACCAGGGAGCCCTGCCAAGGACAGAATATGCACTCCACAACACACGGGCTGGTATGTGCAGCACCAGGCACAGCCACATCCACTCAGCCTTGTCAACAAGTGAACATAACATAAGGTAAACAGAAAAGAGATGATGATGAAACGAAGCATTCTGGGCTCTGGAGACTGCTGACTCTGCAAAATGTTCTCATGCTGGGAAAACAATGGTGCATGCTTCAAACAAGCATGCTACCATTCATCAGGGGAGAGGGGAGAGCCAGCTGTACAGAATAT